AGAGGGCTGCACACATTAGAGGTGGCGTAAATCGGTTTCTCGCGACGTGTTACCCCTATATCTGATAGAAAATTGACGAGTTTTGATGAAAGATTTCTGCTTAAAAGTTGGTGTGTGTGAGAAAGTAGGAATAGATAGTCGGAATAGATAGTAAAGAAAGAGTATGTAGCTTGGATGTCCCTTAGTTAGAGTTTGGCTGTCCCAACAACTACAGAGGGGTGACAAGTAAACAGAGAAATAGAAAAAAGGCTAGTTTTCAATTAGATATATCTTAGCTAATAGACTAGAGAAAAATAAGTAAGGAATATATTTAGAAAGCTAGGATCTAGTGGATTAGTAGAGAACATATATTTTGACTTAGGTAGTAGGTAGATAGAGATATATATATAAAGATATGATTTTCTAGTGAGTTACAAAAGAGAGATAGTATTACTCCTAATAGAGATTGATAAACTTCAATAGGCTTCTATTACCTACTAAAAATATAAATAAATAGAATAAATAGAGTATGAGATTTAATACTGAGCTCCTCATAGCTAAAGCTTTAGTATTTCTGAACCCTAAAACTACTATGCAATTTTGTATTTGTCAATTTTTATTAAATATAATAGCTTAAACTTAATAAAAAGTTTTTGAAAAGTTATATAAAAACTACTTAACTACTACTACTTTTTCTCATTATTACTATCAGGTTTTTAATTTATTCCAGCTTATTACGTACTACTTTGATAGGTAGTAGCTTATTAGAGTAGTATAGTAACTTAACTTATATGGTTTTAACTAGAAGCGTAATTATTCTTTACTCATATTTATTTATGTATTTATATAAGTAAAGCCTAGTATATTTTCTTTTCTTTCTACTAAGCTAGCTTTTATTATCTTTAGTACTTTTAATAACTAGTTACATATTAAAAATATAAGCGTATCTAAGATACTAGTAATGATATAATAGCAGTATTTACTTCAAGTAACTCTTAATAGGTAATAGCATGTTAGAGCTATATAGTAGTTGCGTAATAACTACTATGATAAAGCTTTAAAAATAAGTAGTATTTAATCACTGAAGTAATTCCAATTCTAGTTCTAAATTCATTACTACTATCACGCTATTAGTTAGTGTATTAATATAATTTTCCTAGTATTCTTCTTCTACTCTTTTATACTCTTTTATACTTTATATAATACTAATTAATTAACTAACCAACTAACTAATCAACTAGTTTATAAAATAAATACTACCTACTCTAGCTATAATATTATTATCTATCTTACTAAGCAGCTAAAGTCTAGCTTTCTGTCTACTCGATAGTACGAGGACTATCTCATAACGTTGACTTCTACTATTATTTATATATTTAGCTAGAAGTCTATTTTAGCAATAGTAGCTAACAATATTCATAACTATCTTAAAAATATCAAGTAGTTTTAGTCTCTCTATGAATAGCTATTTCAGCTGGCTAATATTAAATATAATAACAATAGGTAGAAAGTTTTTCTTAATACTAAAGAGGTAATGATCTCTATATTGAAGCCTAAATCTTTTCACTACTTAAAAGTTTAGCTATAATAAAGTAAGAAAATTACTAAGTAGCTGCTCTAATAATGATAAAAAATCAAGTAAAGAAAAAGTTGTTAAACGTAATATAGAGTGTTAAGAAAGGCTTTCTTAAGAAACTATAGAATAAGAAGAGCGTTATATGAATAAGTATATTTTGAAGTTTATATAAAGGTAAACAGCTACTTCTATAAAGAATAGATATTATAGATATACCTATTAGCGCTATATCAAGTAGAAAGTAGTATAACTAACAATTAAGTTTTTAGATTTTAGATTTTATATCTTAAGTAATTAGATTTTAAGTTATATAGTAGTAGCAGCTTATAATAGTAGTCAAGTAGTAGTAGTAAGTAACTTATATAAGCTTCTTTCTAACGTATAAAATATTACTCCCTTTATAATATATAGTTTTTACTACTTATACTATTAGCTTATAAGCCATATTATATTAGTAAGACTTATAAAGCGTAGAAATAATTATATCATGATATAGTATAAGTACATGAAAGAAAATTTATCAATCTATACGCATATCATATTACTAGGCGTGTAAATTGTATTTTATGATAGCTAGGAATAACTTGAGTAGCTATTACATTTAATCATACTTAGAAGAGGCTTCTTACGCGTATTATTAGCGCGCAAAATTTAATAAAAACACTAATAAAAAGTCTGCAAATTAATACATAAGGGGCCGCAGCTAAAGCTAAATATATATATGAGAGTAGATTTTAACGTTATGAGATAGGCCTACTACTATAGAGTAGATAGAAAGCTAAACTTTAGCTGCTTAGTAAGATGGATAATAATATTATAGCTAGAGTAGGTAGTATTTATTCTATAAACTAGTTAATTAGTCTGTTAGTTAGTCAATTGATTAGTATTAAATAAAGTAAAAAAGAGTATACAAGAGTAAAAGAAGAATGTTAGATAAATCGTGTTAATACACTAACTAATAGCGTGATAGTAGTAATATATTGGAAACTAGGATTGGAATTACTTTAGTAATTAAATACAACTTATTTTTAAAGCTTTATCATAGTAGTTATTACGCAACTACTATATAGCTCTAATAAAATATCAGTTATTTAGAGTAACTTAAAGTAAATACTGCTATCATATGAATACTAGTATCTTAGATACGCTGATATT